TCTGTGTAGGATTTCCAGCTCTCTGTATTTTCATCATACGGTGCTTCGGCACAAAAACGTCCTGCTTTTTCCAATTTTTGAACGGCATACCATGAAAAATTTAGTATTTAACTTCTTCCCATTTAAACAATGTACTCCTGAGACTACTTGTTTCTTCCTGAGGCTGTGTGCCTCACTTGAAACATTTCCCTCCGAGTAGGGTATTCATTACTCACAAGGGTCCTTCAGGATGGAGCATAGAATCATCAAAATCTACAGCAAAGAAAAAGATCCTTCAGCCCATCACTTCCATGCCATTTGAAAACAGACGTTGACCATTTTAATCCAACTTCCCAGCTTTGGCCCATTGCCTTATATGTTTTGGCATTGCTAGTGCACATTTAAATACCTTCTTAAATGTTCTGAGGTTTTCCGTCTCCACCACCCTTACAGGCAGTAAGTTCCAGATTCCCACCACCCTCTGGGTGAAAAAGTTTTTCCTCACATCTCCTCTAAACCTCCTGCCCCTATCTTAAATCTACACCCCTGGTCATTGATCCTTCTGCCAAGGGGAAAAGTCTCTTCCTTTCTACCATATCTTTGTCCCTCAATTTTAAACATCACAATCATGTCCCCTCTCAATCTCCTCTGCTCTAAGGAAAACAACACCAGTCTGTCCAATCTCTCTTCAAAACTGAAACTCTCCAGCCCAGGCAACATCCTGGTAAATCTCCCTCTGCACCCTCTCACATGCTATCACAATGTGGATCCTACAACTGCACACAACACTTTAGCTGTGGACTAAATCAATGTTTTATACAGTTCCAGCATAACCTCACTGCTCTTAAACTCTCTCAGCTAATAAAGGCAAGTATCCCATATGTCTCCTTAACCATTTACTCTATCTGTCTTGATACCTTGAGGGACTGGTGTCGATGCACATCAAGATTCCTCTGTTCCTTAGTGCTTCTCGGGATCTTACTGTTCATCATACATTCCTTTGCCTTGTATGTCCTGTCCAAGTGCACCACCTTGTGGACTAGAGGTGAGGCCTGGTGCCGTCTGCTAGAAAGATTGTAATGCTGAACATTTTTTTTTATTTTTCTAATTTATTCCTAAGATCCTGTACCTAGGCATCTTTATACCTAAGGTGGTGCCATAAGTGGTGACTTTGTAAACTTTTCACTGCACTCATGTGAGTACGTGACAATAATCTTTAATTCTAATTCTTGTTTGTCCAGTTTGAATTCCATTGCCACTGATCAGCCCATTTGACCAGCTGTCTATATCCTCCTATAATCTAAGATTATCCTGCTCACTATTTATGAACCCACCAATCTTTGTATTGTCTGTGAACTTATGGATCAAATCTCCTACATTCAAATCTATATCATTATATAAACCACAAACAGCAAGGGCCCCAACACTGACCCCTGTGGGGCCCCAATTGACTCAGGTTTCAAGTCATAAAGTTACCCTCAAACCATCACCCTCTGGTTCCTGCCGCTCAGCCAACTGTGGATCCAATTTGCCAAATTTCCTTGGATCCCATTGGTTTATATCTTTTCAATCCGATTCCCATGCTGGACCTTATCACAAGCCTTGCTGAAGTCCAAGTAGACTTTGTTGAATGCATTGTCCTCATCTACACACCTGGTCACCTCTTCAAAAAGTTCAATCCAATTGGTCAGATATGATACCCCATGAACAAAGCCATGCTGACTGTTCTTGATTAATCCCTGCCTCTCCAAATGCAGATTAATTCTGTCCCTCAGAATTGTTTGCAATAGTTTCCCCACCATTGAAGTTAG